CACAACTTTGGCTGTTTTACCCAGTCATCTCTTACCTGTTAGATTCTTATTGAGACATTGCTGTCATTCTATCAGGATCCTCTTACATGTAACTTAGTGCCCCTTTTATATCCTGTTTTATTTTCTTTCTAGAATTTTATCTCTTGGAGAGGTGCTTTGCATTGAGTTTATTTGAGAGACCTTTATCTTCCATGACCTGGATCTTCATTGAACTTCATTAAATATGTTTTTCTCTATGTTGTCCTTTATCTCCTCCTGCTAGAAAGCCCAAAATATAAGTTTGTGTTCATTTAATGGTGTCCCATATACTGCCTATGTTGTTCATTCTTTTAATTTTGTTTTATTTTAATTCATCATATACTTTGGGAATTTAAAAACATAAAATAATGATTATTTCATATTTTTGTTTTTACCTCCAATTATCCTGTTCCCTCTAGCACTAAAACTCTTATTCTCAACAATTCCCCTTTGACTGTAAATTTCAGGATAAGTTTTATTAAACTTGCTCAAGAGTGAAAGCCTAGTGTGTAAATGTTTAGAGCAGTATCAGTCACAGCATGCTGAAATAAAATGGCTGTTATAAGAATTTCAAAGTAGGAGTTGGAAAAGGACAAGATTAGGAAGTAAGTGGAGACAGAATAGAAACAAGTGTCCCATAGATAGTGTCCTGGATAGATCTTAAGGAAAATAAAGAGTTTGAAGACTTTGGTTGAAGGTAGTAAAGAGACTATAAAATGCACACGTGGGAGTCAGTTATTCACATACTGAGTCTAAAACACACATTGGGTTTTGGAAGCAGGTGAATCAGTGATAAGTGATGAACCAGATATAAACTGAGGTGTATTTCCAGTGGAGAATCCCAGAACTGCAAGTTATTTACTCTTGTAACTGTATGCTCAGGGACAGGTGACACATCACACATGACTTTGACTCTTAGTGACTGTGGTGGCAAAAACCTTCGCTTTCAGCCTCTAGCCACTCACTGATTTTTTCAGAGGAACTTTTACAATGTCCATTTACAACATGTACATTCTATAGGTGTATTATATTTTACCTTTAATATTGTAATATACTCTGTATCAATTGATTGTTTAGATATGCTTAAATCTATAGTTGTCTACATTGTACTATTACTGTGGCCAATAGCCAATATATTCATTTTATCTACAGGTGCCTTGCTTAGGAACAATGGCATGTAACCAAAGCCTGGGTGGGTAGAGAGCTTTATATTTTAGGCTTATATAAGTTACATCTGTGATTTACACAATTAATAAATTGTCTCACTGCCCAGACCCCATCCCTGGGCATCAGCCACTCCGGGGAAGACCTGCACAACTTGGCACCAGGTTCTGGCCACCAGGCAAGTTCCCTTCTAGCTCCACCGGGAAGGATCCCCTTCTCCAAGATCCCCGGCAGACACTGCAATCTCCACGCCTTGGCCCCATGTACATCCGCCCAAGACCCTAGCCAATTCCTGAGACTTAGAGACTGGCCCCCAGCTCCCATCCTACCCTGGAATTCCCTTCTGGACCAGAGAGGGCTCCCATCCTGCTCTGGACTTCCCTTCTGGACAAGAGCGCCCACCCTGCCCTGGACTTCCCTTCTGGGTAAGAGCATCCATCCTGACCCGGACTTCCGGTCTGGAAAAAACCTCCCCTCCTGTCCTGGAATTCCACTCTAGATAAGAGCTTCCATCCTGCCCCAGAGTTCCCATTTGGACAAGAGAGCTCCCACCTGGACAAGAGAGAGAGACTTCCTGAATCTGTCAGCTCTGTCTGAACCAAGTGCGCTGATAAGACCAAGAACGAACCACAAGGAGGTGGGCAGATGTCAAGGCAGAAGTACATACAACAAAATAAAGAGCAATACAGCATCACCAGAACCTAGCCTGCCTCCAACATCTAGACCTGAATATCAAAAATTGGAAGAAGCAGAAGAAAACAGCCTTATGAATAACATCGTGAAGAGGGTAGAGGCTTATGTAGAGGAAAAGACAAGAAAATTGGAAGAACACTGTAAACAACTAGAG